TTGACTGGAGATTTAAACTGCTGCCTACAAAACAGGAGACAGAGTATACAGTGACAATTCATACAAAGAGCAGACTGTAATAACCTCAGGCTTTCCAGGGCATCACAAAGTGCCATGTCTTAGGAGTAAAAACAATATCCCAAGACCAGGAAACTTATCCCAGAAGAAGGAAAAACCAAAATGTACTTTCCCTAACAAAGCCTAAAATCAAGCCTCCATAAGTTCAAAATTCTCAGCCAGTAGTTGAACTGCCTGCTAAAAAATAATTAATATTCTTCAGAAGAAGATAGTAAAATACAATCTCTACAGAATTTTGTCCATAATATACTGTAGACAATAAACATTTACTGGGCATTGAAAGGAAAAACTGATAGACTAGATTCTCCACAATCACATGAGTCATTTCTTTAAAATAAATCTCTTTATATATATTGATTCTATTGTCTGGAAGATAGACACAGATATAGATATCGATAGTTTATCTATTTATTTCAGTGACTAATAAAGTCATGCAATGGAAAACCACTCAGTCATAAAAAGGAATAAACTAGTCATACATTCAATAGGCATAAATCTCATAAACACCGTATTGAGTTTTAAAAGCCAGGTACAAAATAATGCATATTTTGTCATTTCATTTATATGAAGTTGAAAGACAGATACAACTAATCTATGACAATAGAAATAAGAAAATGGGGAAGGTCTGGGGAAGGTGGGTGTGGCTGTGTGTTGGTTGGAAATAGACAGGAGACACACCCTCTGGAGTGACGGATGAGCACCCCATCTTGCTTTGGCAAGTGCCACATGGGTATGTACCTTTGTCAAAACCCAGAGAACTGAACAGTTAAGATCCATGCATTTCATTCTGTGTAGGTTACACCTTTAAAAATTAGCATGTTTACCTATTACTTCAAATTTTCAACTATGTGTCTATGCATAAATTTATTTCATGTATGAAGCTTCAAAAACCAATTAAGTTTTTGAATTTTTGTGGCTCAATATGTTCACAATTGATTTAGCATCAGCTGTAATATCCAAACCAGTGTTTGCATTTCTTTTCCTGAAAAGAGCTAAAATATCTGTAGGCCCAAATTCCAGGACCAATTCTGACCCAGAGTTTCTCTCTAACAACATAAATACCATTGGCAGCCTTCTTGAAGTTCCACAAATCAAGTTCCACCATTTCGTAACTTTTGTGCTTTTATATCCCACACGTCCCTTTCTCTACACCTAACACACACACACACACACACACACACACCCCATCTTGGACCATCCTTCCTTAACTACCAACAGAAGACGTTTCATGCAAATCCCTCTGGACACAGTTTTACCACCAAAATGAACTCTGTTTTCTGTATGTAAAGGAAATCAGTTTTCCTCTGGGCTGTTTTCCTCACAGCTTATTGACTCTTTGGCTATGATGTAAGAGAGCTAATTTCAAGATCATTTTGGAGAAAGAATCAGAGTAACTGCCAACAGTGATGCCACTCTGTCAGAAGGAGAAAAGCAAAAAGGATGAACGATTTGAAGGGAAAACTGAAAAAGAGAATCCACTTCCCTTTCTCAGACTCTCCAAAACTTGTTCATTTGATTATATTTCCATGAGATACTTCAAGCAAGGCAGAAATTTCTGCTACCGTAACCTCCTATGACAGGTAAGATGTGAGGATGCTAGTATTCCCATAAAAAGCGTGCAATTTAACAAGGCAAAGCCTTATTTTAAGGACATTAATGTGAACAATGGAACTTAAGGCACAATGAAGAAGAGGCAGGTGGTAGCGTATTTTCCTTGGCGACCCTGAAATCCCATCACATAGACGTTTGTTCACTATATTTACCCACTGGAAGCTCACAGCTGCTTGTCCATATGGATATAAGGACCCAAGTCCCTACAGTACCTGATGCTGCTGCTCAATTAAGAATAAGACTCGCCCATATCTGTTTGTGAGTCAACACTCAATATATCTGTAGACCAAAGCTCAAAAGGAGTGTGAAGGACACAGGATTTGCTAGTTATATAACTTTAAAAAGCCATTGTTCTAGGCTCGTAGAGGAGATGGAACTAGCAGGATTGGGCACAGGGCCAGAGGAGTTCCTGTTTCTGTTCTTAAGAAGCCCCATTTGAGCTTCGGGGAACTGTGCAACCATTAGGGGGACCCCTCTGGTCATGCAGGCAAGGTGAGACTATGCCTAGACACCCAACTTCACTGCAGTGATGATCACTGCAGCCTGAGCAGGCTCCTGAAGTCAATATTTAGATCAAACAGGAAACTTCCACTTGAGTGAAAGTTATAATTAATTGCATTATTTTAATACCAATTACAGTTAACACATCACTTATATCCATATGTTATTAACTCCTTACAGACTAAGAGCATGTTTTAACATTTTTCAGTGTCTCCCAGAATACTTGAGCATCCCAGGTGGTTCCATGGTAAAGAACCCGCCAGTCAATGCAGGAGATGCAGGAGACATGGGTTTGATCCCTGGGTTGGGAAGATCCCCTGGAGGAGGAAGTGGCATCCCTCTCCAGTATCCATGCCTGGGAAATTCCAGGGACAGAGAAGCCTGGCAAGCTACAGTCCATGGGGTCACAAAGAATTGGACATGACTTCGGGATTGAGCACCAAAAGACTTAAGACAGTATGAATATATATATTTGGTAATTGGATTAATGAATAATCAGCTATTTTGTTTTGGTTTTGCCCAGGACAAAAGTTAATTCCCTCCATCCACCCAGGGTCATCCCATCCTCTACCACTGAACAGATCCATCAGTTTGATCTCAACTCCCTAGAGACATTTAATTCATTCTGAAATTTTTTTCCAGGGGAGAAAGTATTTGTTTTTAATTTCTTTTTTACTTATTTTCACAGTCTCAGCTTTACTTTCATTTGATTATACATGCCTTAAAAAACATACAAACGCTAGTAAACACACCTCATCATCAGGAATTAGAAGGGCGTAAAACGAGTATTTTAAAAAGCAAAGTAAAATAAGAAATCTATGGAACAGGAGGAAAACAGAGATGGTAAAGGAGGAAGACAAGGAAAACAAAGAGAGAAAAAACAGACGAGTACAATTAGACGGAAGAAGAAATGTAGACATGGCAAGTACAGAAAACCAGGTATTCAAAAAAGGCTTCAGTTTTATACTCTAAATCTTAGGCATAAATGTTTATCTTTCTGAAAGACTTTAAAAATCAGGATAAATCTTGATTCTATAGAATACTGATTCTAATGTTAATTACTCCTGAGATTTCTGCTTTGAATTTCTAAACAAAGATACAAATTACAATTTTTAAAGTATTTGTACTATTTCATCCTCAATCCAATAGAGCCCATTCCCTATATTCAGCAAATTTCAATATGATAAATATCTATAACATTCTTGCAAACATTTGAGGATCAAATGAAATAACATGAATATACATAAAAGTTTTAAACACCCAATAATATGGGAAGTGAAAATGGGACAGGTTAATAGCAGCAAGAAAACTCAAAATGTTTTTATACACAAAGAGACACTACAACCAATATAAATATCTGTAGATTTCTAGTCCTATACTTACTGATGTAAGATTTTTTCCTTAAGTATTCTAGAAACATTTATTAAATACTTATGGATTTTCTTATCTGTCCTAGCAGTAAAAAATATATATGTATAGTGTAGACTATATGGAGACAGACAATAAATAAAATATAAAATATATTTAACATGGTATATGTCGAAAAACACTAAAGAGAAGCATAAGGAGGAGGAAGTAACTAGAAATAGTGGGTAGGGAGTCATTACTGTACATTAGGTGGCCAGGAAGAGCTTCACTAAAGAGGTGCTATGTGAGCAGAGCCCTGAGAGATGAGAAAGGAAGCCATGTAAATATCTGGGGGAACAGCATTGCAGGAGGAGGAAGAGCATGAGCAGTGGCTCTGAGGCAGGAGATACCTCGTGGGTTGGAGAAAAGGCCAGGTGAGCAGTGTGTCTGGGAAAGAAGGCAAAAGGAGAGCAATCAGAGACAAAGCCACAGGGGGAAAGAGGGGCAGGGTGAGAGTCTCGCAAGCCCCATGGCACTGTCTTCACTCTCAGTGAGGTGAGAAACCGCTGAGAGCGTGAGAACAGAGAAGAAAAATTACCTGTTTACCAAGTGTTTCCTTCTCTCTGCACACACAGTGTTAGTCACTCAGCTGTGTTTGACTCTCTGTGACCCCACGGACCGTAGCTCACCAGGCTCCTCTGTCCCTAGAAATCTCCAGGCAAGAATACTGGAGTGGGTAGCCATTCCCTTCTCCAGAGGATTCTTCCCAACCCAGGGATAGAACCTGGGTCTTCTGCATTGCAGGCAGATTCCTTACCATCTGAGCCACCAGGGGAGTCCCATTTATCTGTTATCCATTTACAGTGGAGGATTTATTCTGGCTGGTGAGTTCCAGGGTCAGTGTTGAAGCAGAGACCAGGGAGGGAGCGCTACTCATTACATGCCAGGGACCAGGTGAAGCCCTTCGTGTGCATCATCTCCACCTATCTAATCTCCATCACACACCTGTGAATAAGTATCCCCTTCCTACATGAAGAAACCAAATGAAGTCTGAAAAGTTTACACTGTCCAAAGGCTGTAGCTAAGATTTCATTATGATCCGTCTTGTAGAGCTCATGCCCTAAGCCAACACTCTCTTCGGATTCCCTGTATGATGGAGCGATGGGAGTGCATATGTTCTCAGTTGTGTCCAGCTCTTTGTGACCCCGTGGACTGTAGCCCGCCAGGCTCCTCTGTCCATGGGATTCTCCAGGCAAGGATACTGGAGTGGGTTGCCATTTCCTCCTCTAGGGGATCTTTCCAACCCAGGGATGGAACCCTCATCTCCTGTGTCTCCTGCTTTGGCAGGTGAATTCTTTACCACTTAAGCCATAGGGAGAGTCCCGAGGGAGGGGAAGAACCTTCTAAATTGGTGAATCCATGATAATGAAGATTAGGAATTCACAATGGCTGATGTCTGCGTGTTATTGTCTGGTCTGGAGCTGAAGGTTCCTAGTGGGGAACAGTAAGAGCAATAGTGGAGACTGGGCAGAAAAGCTGCAGTTACATTCAAGAGAGTGAGGATCTATGATGAACACGAGAGAAAGGAGTACTTTACTAGGAACAGGATAAGTTAGAGGAAGCAGAGATCTGGCAATCAGAATAGCAAAAAAGAAATGTGATAAATTCATACAAGTGAATAAGAGCTGGTGCAAGTAGGAATGGAAAGGAAAGAATGTATCTAAGCAACATTTCTCAGAAAAGGTGTTTTCCCCAAAAAAATCTAGCACAGAATTATGTTCTGAATTGTTTACAAAAAATATAGAATTTAGAATCCAGGCCATGTCCACAAGTTGTATGAACTGGGACAAGTTATTTATCTGGAACATGTCTTCATCCATAAATGAAGGTGTCATAGATTAGCTCTCATTTTTCTTCCTTTTCTATAATACTGTGGTGAGTATTGGTTTACCTGTTTTTAAGCTCCAGCTTAGAACAATTGTGAAAGCCTTTAGCATTTATTTCTTTAAAGGCATTAAAATTGAATCTCATACATAGTGCATGGCATCATGTCCAAAACAGAGGAGACACTCAAAATTATATACTGAATCAAACTGAATTGAATCAAGAAATCATCAAAGAAAAAGAATGAATTGTAGTCTCATGCTCATAGCTGAAAAAGCTTGAATGCCAAAAAGAAAATATTCAGAACTTGTCCCACTTCTTTACTGCCCTGCTCACTTTCTCAACCAGACCTGTTCCAAGCATGGTCCCTGCATCAGAGTGTGAGAAAGTCCTTTCTGTGCATGTAAATCTTGGATGCCACTGCAGATGACCTGACCCCACAAACTCACAGGTGGCCCAAGAATTTGTGTTGTGACAATCCCACAGGTGGAATGCTGAAGTGTGAGAAGAATTGCTCTACACTACCCTCAAAATCTATTTATTTAGTTATGGCCCAGAATGGGACCACAGACTTGGAGCCAGAGTTTTTGATTAAGATATTCTAAAGTCCAAAGGTTACTAAATGACTTACATGTAATATAGTTGAGTGACATAGACATGGCTGTATGCCTCCGTGTGTATTACCATCCCAGGCATTCTTCCAAACTGGAAGTCAGCTCACAGGCCCAGGTGGCAAAGCTATTTTTATGATAATAGTTATTCAGGCATCTTCCATATCTCCCCAGACACGCTTTAAGAATGTCTCCAAGAAGCAAAAGACAGAAGTAACTTTATTTGGAAGGCCTTGCTCCAGACCTCTTTCTAAGCAAGCCATTATACAAAGTGAAACAACATAAACAAGATCTGTTTGTTTGCTTACTTGATTTTTCAACCAGGAAATATGATGAGCATTTAGAATGGTTTTGCCTTTCAGTTCTTTCTGTATCCTGCTGTTCAGCGTAATGAAGTAGAGAGAGTGTGAGCTTTGGGAGCTGACAGATTGCTTCTGCTTGTTTTAGCTGTGTAACTTCAGACAAATTCCCTAATCTCTCTGAGACTCAGTCCTCCTCTGAGAACTGGATAAGACACTGAGAGACCAACACAGAGTTCGACACAAATGAAGCTGGAAACCCGTTTGCATTCCCTTCTTCCCTCTCTAGTTCGTCTACAGTTTTTATTTCCAGGTCCTTTTCCCAAATCCCAGAACTGACACAGAGACCAGAAGTGACACAGAGAATAAGCTCCCATTGCCCCACCCACAATGGGACGCTTTCAGGAAATACTGGTTTAGGGAAGCACAAATGTTTCTAATCCTGATTTCTGGATGCTCAGACCTCACTGCTACCCACGCGGAGAAGGAAGAGAAACCACTTCCCACAGCAGAGCTTTCCTCATTTCCGACACTACAGAACAGTGATCACAGTTCCCAGAGGAAGACTGCCAGTCTCTTCACTGCCAAGAAAGCATCTAACAGCCCTGTCAACATGACGAGCCTTCAGCCTCATCCCCTTCTGTGCACGCATGCCTGCTCAGTCGCTTCAGTCAGGTCCGACTCTCTGTAACCCTATGGAGTGTGTAGCCCACCAGACTCCTCTGTTAATGGGATTCTCCAGGCATGCATACTGGAGAGGGTAGCCACTTCCTTCTCCAGGGTATCTTCACAACCCAGGGATTGAGCCCGCATCTCTTGTTTTTCCTGCATACCATTAGCACCACCTGGCAAGCCCTCAATCCCTGTTACTTGTCTGTAGCCTGCCACTTTACTGGAAGTAAAATTGTATCTTTTACAAAGGAAAGAATTATCATAAACATTCTACAGTCCTACTTTCTCAGCTTCCATTCTGTCTGAATGGTAATAAAGGAGGTACAGAGAACAAGTCTACTTCTTATTGGTTAGTCAACAACCATTTGCAGGAGCACTCACTAAACAGAACTTCTCCACATACTGTCTTGGGTAAGGATCCACTTTCTTCTTTTTTCAAACTTTTTATTTTGTACTGGGGTATAGCCGATTAAAATGTGATAGTTTCAGGTGAGCAGCAAAGAGACTCAGCCATACATACACGGATCCATTCTCCCCCAAACTCCTGCCCCATCCAGGCTGCCACACAACATTGAGCAGAGTTCCCTGCTGGGCAGATGGTCATTGTTGGTTACCCATTTTATATACAGCAGTGTGTGCATGTCCACTTTCTTACTTGAACTTGAGAAATAGGTCTTTTGGTGGCTCTTGTCTCAGCATACTTGCCAGTGCATAGAAGGATGAACAATTAGCCGCTGAAATCCTATCATCTTCTGTCTCTTTGTCACTGTTTACATCAATCTTCTAATTCTAAAGTTCACTTTTAGAGCTTAAAGTTCTCCCTCATTACACTTATAAAGGAATAAATTATAGAAATTTAATGCGTAAAAGAATTAATTCAAAGGCCTTGTGATAGCCATATCTTATGTGAGAAATACTCTTGTTTGAATAGTAAAACACTTCATCCATCTTTAGTTCAGTTAACACATACCTTTCCAAAAAGAGGAAGAGCGGTGTGTGGGGGTGGGAGAGTGTGTGCGGGATGGTTTGAGATTTTGCATTTCTTATGGTGTCTCCAAGAGTAAAAAAAAAAAAAAAGCTCATTTCCTTTTAGTTTCAAGCTAAATGAAATACAAAAATAAGACCACATGCAGTTCTCCTTAGGCATTACAGGCTGATCTGGAAAGTATTATCAAATTGGATACTTTCTAACTGTAAATTATTTCAAGTGACAGAAAAATTCTAAATTCTGGATGTTCATCCCTTCTGAATCTTAAGAATTCTTCCTGCTGATTAGAGGACCAAAAAGTAGAAACAGGCAATGAAGAGGCCTTTTGTTTCTGAATGTGCTCTGCCCGGGCAGAGAGTGTGGGGTGAGGCACCCCACTCTGCAAGCGTGTGAAGGGGCTGCTCCTAGCTCACAGCGCTTTGCTGTGTGTAAGACACCTGGCTTGCCTGCAGGTGGGCAGCTAGCTGGCCCCCAAGCTACCACATGCCCTCCTCAGTGTGGAAGCAGGACCAGCCACTCACATCCAACCAGTTAACATCTTCTCTACACACCCTTTCCTGATGTCATCCAGTAACCTGCCATCAGCTCAAGTTACACTACATTATCACTCAACAGGAGGTCTCTTTTGTTGCTGAGAATTTTTCTTAATCACTAATGACTAATTCACTTTGGCTACAGACTCACCAGCACAAAGCAGAGTATCCGTCTCGTGATAGCGAAAAATGGACTAAATGTACATTTGCGGCCTGTGTTACTTGAGCTAGTTCTACCTGACAGCAGTCTGGGCTTGATCAGCTTCCAGACATTTTGTTTTCTGCTGCAGGATTCCCAAAGACATTCCTGGTTTCCAAGAACAGAACCGTTTATTGTTTAAGTTTGTGTTAGTGCCTTGGAGACAAAGGAGACCTGTAAGTCTCTCTTTGTTATGGTGATTCCTGCTGATACACAAGGAGGAGTTACGCTGATTCCGGTCAATGACTATGAAAAAGCAATTATGTCACTTGACTTAAATAAGCTGTGCCCCCAGGTCAACTCTTAAAACTCAAAGGGGTATATGTCCTTACATAAATAAATACATGGATAGCTACTTATGGATATTAGATATATAGGTACTTGCCTTTGCAATGGAAAGAACTCATTTTTCCTTACTAATTCTTTAAGTCATTAAGTATCTAAGGTTGGGAATTCATTAAGTCAAATTTGCAAGTATAATGATTTTATTTAAGGCTGTCAAAAGGGATTGGGATTTATATTTATTAAGCAAATATTATGTACTTGGTTTCATGCCAGGTGTTTTATATTTGTTCTATCATTTAAAATTTCACAGTATTCTAAATTTCATTCTATAATTCACAGCTGATGGATCACCAGTCCAATTTCATGGGAAGTTGTTGTTGCTCAGTCATTAAGTTGTATCCAATTCTTTGTGATCCCATGGACTACAGCACGCCAGGCTCCCCTGCCTTTCATTATCTCCCAGGGTTTGCTCAGATTCAAGTCCATTCACTTGATGATGGTATCTAACCATCTCATCCTCTGCTGCCCTTTTCTCCTTTCACCTTCAATCTTTCCCAGCATCAGGGTGTTTTCCAATGAATTGGCTCTTTGCATCTGGTGGCCAAAACATTGGAGCTTCAGCTTCACCATCAGTCCTTCCAATGAATATTCAGGGTTGATTTCCTTTAGGATTGACTGGTTTGATCTCCTTCATGGAAAGAAAGGCACTCAAATCAACCCAGATGGTTAGAAGCATCTTAAGTTTAGGATCAAAGAGATCAGGACATGGACATTCGCCTTTCTGCCTCTGTGACATGTTCTTGGACTTTAAATCCTTGTTTTTTATTTATAGACTGGGGATAATAAAATTACCTCATGATGCATTCATAAACATTAAAGGAAACAAGGCAAACAAAAGCAACTGGTAAGGAGGGCCTCTATTCAGCTTGCTTCTTCTAAGTCCTGCCTCTTCCTCTCCTTCCTCTCTCTCTGCCCTCATACCCCACTTCTGTTTGAGTGTTTGCGAAAAAATCAGAAAGCAGCCTTAATGACCATCAAGTGACCTCATTTAACATATGATGAGAATAAGGTCCAAAGTATTTGGAGACATAAACACAGCTAAGTGGCAGCAAACTTGGTAAACAAAAAAAAGCTAACCCCCCCCCCCCAGTTCAATTGCACTTATGTCATACATGTCTGTGCTCTAAGGTACATGCCTAAATGAAAACTTACTGCTAGTCACCCTCCATGGCTTCCCAGGTGGCACTGAGGTAAAGAACCTTCCTGCCAATGCAGGAGACGTAAGAGACGCAGGTTAATTACCTGGGTTGGGAAGATCCCCTGGAGAAGGAAATGGCAATCTACTCCAGTATTTTTGCCAGGAGAATCCCATGAACAGAGGAGCCTGGTGGGCTACAGTCCATGGGGTCACAAAGAGTTGGACA